TAAAACGGAGTCAGAACTTGAGAAAAAATTACAAAGTCTATATGAAAAGCCTCTTTCAGAGGAAAATAAATTAGAAATCGTTATAACAGAAAATGAGTTAAAGCAAATAAGGGAAGACAAGGTAAAAGGTAACGTTATTAGGGCAAAGGCAAAATGGAATGTAGAAGGGGAGAAAAGTACCAAATATTTCTGTAATTTAGAAAAACGAAATTATACAGAGAAAATTATTCAAAAAAATATAATTGACGATTTGGAAATCACACAACTTCCGGATATTTTAAAAGCTCAGGAAAATTTTTTATAAAGAGCTGTATACTGCAGGTGATCACATAATAACAAAAGAACACGAGGAAATGTTTTTTGATTCTAAAAACGAGTATATTGAAAGACTCACAGAGGAAGAAAAAAATGAATTGGAAGGTCTAATTACTAAAGAGGAACTTCTTATCGCATTACAGAATGCAAAAAAACGGAAAATCCCCCGGACTTGACGGTTTTACATATGAATTTTATAAGTTCTTCTGGAAAGATATCTATAAATATTTGCTTAATTCTATAAACCATGCGTATTCTTTAGATTCTCTATCAATTTCGCAGAGAGAGGGAGTAATAATATGCCTTCCTTAAAGTGGCAAATCAAAATTGTATTTAAAGAATTGACGACCGATATCTCTTCTAAATGTTGATAATAAGTTAACTTCTGTGTGTATTGCAAATATGATTAAAAAATACATTTCAAAACTTGTAAGCCAAACACAGGCGGGTTTTATTAAAAACAGATATATCGGAGAATGCACTCGTCTCATATATGATCTAATTCAAAAAGCAGAAGAAGAAAATATTCCCGGCATACTTTTATTTTGATACTGTTGATTGGAACTTTATCTTTAAAACTTTAGAATTTTTCAACTTTGGGGGATCAATAATAAAATGGTTTAAACTACTCTATCATGATGCATCTAGCTGTGTTCTTAACAACGGTCATTTTTCATCCTTCTTCACTGTAGGAAGAGGTGTAAGACAGGGGGACTCTCTTTCGCCTTATTTATTCATTCTAGTGGTAGAGCTCCTCAGCGCCTCTTTAAAAAGCAATCCCGACATTAAGGGAATAAATATTAAAGATTCAGAATATCTTGTTAGCCAATATGCAGACGATACTTCTCTAGCGCTCGAAGATGATGAAATATCCCTTAACTTAGCATTAAAATGGATAAACTCCTTTGCTGCTTGCTCCGGGTTAAAACCCAATTTCGAAAAAACACAAGCTTTATGGATTGGTGCAAAAAGGGGCTGTGGTCAAGAGATTAAGACAAAAGAAAAAATAATGTGGAACCATGACAGTAAATTTAAACTCTTAGGTATAACTTTTGACTTAAACAAACCTGATATAACTTATGATAACTATGAGGAAAAGTTACAAGCTGCAAAGAAGCTTATTAATGATTGGTCTTTTAGAAACCTCACATTAATTGGAAAAGTCACTGTGCTCAAAACACTGGTTTTACCTATTTTTGTTCAACTTTTTACTGTTCTTTCAGACCCACCTTCAGATTTTTTAAAGTAACTTCAAAATATGTTTTTTGAATTTATTTGGGAAGGCAAACCAGAAAAGATCAAGCGCACCGTTCTATATAATTCAACAGAAAACGGAGGGCTTTAGGTCCCTCATCTAGCATCTTTCTGCCAAGCCTTGAAAATATCATGGGTCAAGAAAGTACTTGACCCGAATATTCATTCGCCATGGAAACTCTTGCTCCCAGACACGACACAAAAATTCGGAAACGACAAAATTAGGTATTTTAGATATGAATGTTTAGAGACCATTGCAAATAAATTTAATCCATTCTGGAAAAGTGTATTAATATCCTGGGGAAAGGCTAGTCAAAAATCTACCACAGCCCCTTGTGAAATTCTAAGTCAACCACTATGGCTAAATAATGATATCAAAGTCGGAAAAAAATACGTGTTTAAGCGAAAATGGATTACCAATGGCATATTTTCATTAACGATTTAATCACGGAAAATGGCAATTTGATGAATTTTAACCAACTTAATAATAAATACATGTTAAGGTCAAGATCTAGTAAATAACTTGAGACAAATTTTTTGGTGCTAGATCAATTTCAACTTTCTTTTTCCCGTACTTTACGGCTTTAGCAGAATTATGTAGAAAAAAGGGTATTTTCATGACATTCAATTTGAAATCATATGAAAAGTAAACCGGATACCTATATTAAATTTGATATTGATTTAAAGAAGAGGCCTCGAACATACTAATTACCGTTTTCTGAGAGACTGTAGGCAATCTGGATACATTTCCTCTGACGAATATAAAAAATCACCCATATTTATGACTGGTTTTCTTAATTTTTCATTAAAATTACAGTTTAAAATACAGTTTTTAATCTTGTTTACTAACAAATTATGCCCCGAAACACCTTATTTGACTAAGTTAAAGTTGTAAAGCATCAATAAAGGAATTTATTTCTCAAATTTGATAAATCTGTAGGCACCTTTCATTTATTATTAGATCTTGACCTTAAATACAAATTTCGTGGAATATACCGGATTATTATCAGCAGACCCTAAACATTGGAAGCAAAGAATTAGATATCATCAAAAGTTGAATGAAATTAAAAGTGAAAATATTTTAAACTTCAAACAAACATTAAAGTTACAAAATACTTTTATCAGTTTTTTGTTGAAAAGATAGCAGAGTCCCCTACAAGAGCTTTAACAAATGGGAGGAAAAACTTTCAATACATATTCCTGAAAATAAATGGAAACACTCATTTTCTTTACCCTATTTAATAACAAAGGACACGAAGCTTCGCTGCTTTCAGTTTAAACTTTTACATCAAATATTTTTTCCAAATAGCAAAGTTATGAAATGTAAATTAGCTGAAACAGAACTTTGTTCCTTTTGTCATGATACTCAAGAAACACTTATTCATCTAATATGCTTGTGTCCTTTTTCAATTTCTTTATGGTCTAATTTAAGAGATAAACTTCGTAACACTTGTGGTTTAATAATTAAATTTACACCTGAAGAAATTATATTTGGGTGTAATAGTTCTAGTAAAACTGCTTTCAGATCGTTGAACATAATTATTCTAATTGCAAAGCAATATATAATGCATTGTAAATGGAAAAATATAACACCCTCTTTTCTTGCATTTTTGGAAGTAATTAAATATTATAAAACTATAGAGCTTTTTTCCTCCTTTTCTCTCTCTCTCATAAAAAAGCAGACTTGATAAAGCAAAGTTGGGATTTTTTGAAAACGTATCTCAGTCAGTGAAGATAAGTTACAGAAAAGAAATAAATATTGTTGTTCATTTGTTTATATAAAAATTGCTCAATGGAAGTATTTTATGTCTATTATGTATAAATATTTGCCTTTTTCCACTATGTTGTAGCTTTTGTAATGCTTTGTATGATGCGTGTTATGACAGAAATGAAAAAATTGAATGACAAAAAAAAAAAGAAGAAAATTTCAAAGAATCATCAAAAAATTATCAAATCAGAAACACGTATCAAACCTGTACAGTTGAGATAAATATATGACTCTTAAATGAAATACTTGTTTAGACCACATCGATGTGTCGTCTTTTGCAGTCAGAAATTGCATCAGGTTGCTGATAAATGTCGGTTTTTATAGCCAAGCGGGGCAATTTCACGGACTTCCCTACACATTTAAAAACTAATAAAGCAGTTAAACGGGAACATGATTTTGTTATTGTATATTCATCAAAATTAATCAATACATATAACGAACAAATTTGAAATTTAAAAAGGCTATTTCTAATGCAACGAAAGTTCAAATTATCTGCATTCCATACACACGTAAGCAAACAAATTTTCCTACTGCTGTTAAATGGAACAGCGTAGTCGAGACATGGTGACCTATTTTGTTTCTCTATAGAGGAAACGATCAGGAATATTTTAGCGATCTTCATGATCTTTGTAGAATAGAAATAAAGTCCTTGTTGTCGTGAATGTTGCAGGATAACCTCCTCGGTCTCGAAATGTTGTTTGAAATATAAAAACCTCGGCTAACGCCTCAGCGTTCAAACATTCACGAAAACGCGGACTTTATTTTCTAAATTATGTCTTTAGTTATCAAAATCGTAGATTGAATGTTTTTGATGAAATTTAATGCTTGCTCGCAAATTAACTGACTCGGATCCATCCATTACTTTCTGCAACCGAAATTCCTCCATTTTTTATCAGCGAACTTCGGACTGTCTTGTTCTGTCTTTTCAGCATTGATTATTAATTTTCATGAAAAAAAAATATCTCCAAACAACAATCTGTTCACTATTAATGATCACAAATAGCCTTACACAAAATATCCCCTTTGAAATAGAATCTTTAGCCTGGCGAATTCGAAGCGAAACCGCCATTCAAGCCGATTTACACCTTGCGTCATTTTTTTCAAAATCTACGACGTACGGTTAGTGTTATAATTTATATTCGAAAATATTAAAAATGATTGTCTGTCTCAAGTTTATATATAAGTAATAAATAACGAGTTTATAAACTTCAATGGGAATTGAAGTGGGTCGGTACGTGATCAAATCTTCTGAGAAGGCCTTCGACCTTCACAGGATTTGATCACGTTACCGACCCACTTCAATTCCCATTGAAGTTTATAAAATTGTTATTCATTTCTTAAATACAGCAAAAATCTTTTATAAACAATATCTGTGGGCGATTAAATATGTATTAAGGGTAAGGCACATTATGTCGCCAGCGACAATATGATTGTGCATTTGTCATTCTTTTTATCCGGCAACAGTATGTATCGATGGACGAGAGAAATTGCAATGAGTTTAGGTGCATATTGTCGCCGACGACAAAATGTACAAAACGATAACATGTACAATCACGTGTCTAAATTTATCAATTAAATGTTATTTTTCATTGCCTATTTATAAAAACAACAGCTTAACAATTTATATAAAAGAAAAAAAGTTTTACATTGAAAAATCTCTTACTTGAACAAGAAACTCCAGCATCCTCTCTGTGTGAACAGTCGTGAACTCCAAGTAAGGAATGTGAGCACATTTCAATATCAGTCTCTGTACCATTACAGCGAACATTATCAAGCCAGATCTTATATTTCCCTTCTCCAAAACCAGAGTTAGAATATGCATAGGCTCCTTCCCTTTAAAAAAAAAAATATTGTTTGGTAATCGTTTAATATTATGCACATTGAAAATTCTGTTTCTTTTTGCAATTTTAAAAAGTAATGAAAAGAGTTAAATTTTCAAGTATCTTTTTATAGATTTATCACAGAAGTACAGAAAGTTCATTTTATTGAGATTCCTAATTCGAATTCCGAGATTCAATATCTAAATTCACCGTTCAGCCACTCAAATTCATGTTACAATTCATTTATATTACTGAACAAGGTTGGCTCATGATATCCAAAGTGTTAAACCTTTTTGTCAGGTATATTTTTTAGTTTCTACACACAAAGTTTAATTAAAAATCAAATCATAAAATTGGGGTGAAAATGCTTTTTTGGTGCAATAGTACATTTATTATAATCCTTTTGTACTGAAATTACGTCTTCGATGTCTTTGCTCCAATATTTTTTTTCCAAATAAAGCATAGAAAAAATAAACTATAAGTCTATTTTTTTAAATACACTTTAAAATTGTGAATAAGAAAAAGTTTGAAATTGCTTCGCATTTTCAATAATTTGACTTTCTGTACTAACTTGTGATTTTTCTGGCTTTGAAAATTAAATGCAAAAAAATTATTTAAAAGTCTTTAACTTTTGCTGCATTTATACAGATAGGTCAAAGATATCTTAAATATTTAGGAAAGAACATAAAATTCTTAGATATTACTATATAAAGCGTCAATTTTATGTTTAAATTGTTTTATTTCTTTCATGGACTTTCATGATATATTTTCTATATTTGTCACAATTGATTAACAGAATTCATAAGAAATAATTTCATAGATATTTCAGAGCCAGCATAGTACATTTCACTGCACAAAAATAAAAACAGCTTTGGACACTGTGAAACCAGCATGGAAAAATAGGAAAACAAGAACTTTGTGAGCAAATCCCCGCTCTGTAATGAGTATACACGCAGCATTGTTAAGGCCTATTAGAGAGAAATCAGTGGAATATAGACGTATGGAAAGCCGTAGCTGCCTTATGTGCAGAACTTGCATTATATGCTGGTACTTGGTCATTATATGATGGTACTTTGTCATTATATGATGGTACTTTGTCATTATATGATGGTACTTTGTCATTATATGCTACTACTTATCATTATACTACTTTTCTTCATTATACTACTTTTCATTATACTACTTTTCATTATACTACTCTTCGCTCCAGGTGTTTGAAAATCTAGTCCAGGGCCAGATCACTCCCCACTCTTGTACACAATATATAGAAAAATCAGCACGCACTAAATTTTAATAAATCTGGTCAATACAGGAAGTTTACATGATTTTCATCTCATAAAAAAAATTCAGCTCCAGTCTCGTATCAAAAGGTCCGAATCAGAAGGGAAGATTCCGGGATTGTTTTGCGTCAGACATGATTTGACGTGAACCCAAGTGAAATACTGTAAATTCCTTATTTTTCGCGAGTACTTTTTATCGTGAATGGGCGCTTCAACGTCAAATCGCGAGAATAACAATTCACGAATGGACGGTTGGTTAAGAGATTTTACATAGATTTTAGCACCATAAAAATAAAGGCGAGACATTTTATTTCGCGTGTGGTGCTTCTCGCGAAATTACGCGATAATTAATTCCACGCTTATATTTAGGAATCTACAGTACTGCTAGACACTTAGACTGGCTTGCCTGTCTGAAACTCGTTTTTGTACTGCCAGTCTAGGAACAGTGAATTTGTGTTATAGAGACAAGCGTCTGGATGATCGAGACTACAAATAATGACGAAACAGTAGCATAAAATGAAAAGTAGTATAAATAGGGTAAAGCTCGTTGCAAAGCAACAAGAAGGTCTTCCGTCCTGTTTGACCGGAAGTAAAATTCATTTTTACAAAAATGAGTAATTACGTCCTAAAATTTTTTAAACCCTCGAAAACAATGTTATTTAATGCAAAAATCAGTCATTTTTTGCTCCTTCCAGTTTGACCGGAAGTGACGACGACGGATGGAAAATTATTTTTTTTCTCCCGGTGACAGGTGTTACCCAAAAACTTGTCAAGAATGGCAAAATATGCGTTTTCCGACTACTTCCGGTTTGGCCGGAAATGACGTCGCCGGACGTACTTTGACGACCTCAATAGATTGAGCTTGACATTTTGAACAACTTTGCTTCTTTGACGTATTACAAATTCTCAATACTTTTTGAGATATGAAGGAAAAACTTTTGGCCCCTCTTGGCCCTTAATTTTAGGGGCCAGCCCTTTTGGCCGGAAGTGACGTCGCCGGACGTACTTTGACGACCTCAATAGATTGAGCTTGACATTTTGAACAACTTTGCTTCTTTGACGTATTACAAATTCTCAATACTTTTTGAGATATGAAGGAAAAAATTTGGCCCCTCTTGGCCCTTAATTTTAGGGGCCAGCCCTTTTTCCGAGAATCATTTGAAAGATCTTCTTATTCTGCACAAATTTTGTTCTATATATTTTAATAAAATATTTTTAGATAAGAAGATAAAAAGCAAAATATGAGCAATTTTTGGCTCTTTTTTTAAGCGTTCTAATTTTTTACCCCTATATAGCGCCATTTTGAATAGAGAAATCGAAAAACAAAAGACGATGTGCACAACTTCAATCCTTCTAATATGTTGACGGTGCGACCGTTAGAGCGAGCGCAAACTCTTCTATTGTTTTAATTTAGATCGGGCTCGTCAAACCGCACGTGACATTTGGTGCGTCTAGACTCTGACGTCACATGACGTCGTATGTGAGTTTCAATTCCAAGAAAAAGCCTAAACAGTGCTGAAAGTTAATGAAGAACGTTTTGCTTTCTATTTATCTTCAATATATATCCATTAAATCAAGGCGGGTAAACTTTTTGTTGAAAATTTGTCGTTATTCTCGCGAGAACGTAGCTAAAACAAATGATGCATTGTGGGTCGAAATTATGGCATCAAAAAATTCTATCGAATAAATGTGCAGTAGTCCGAATTTTCTCTTCGCACAGGCGTTGCTTTAAGAGCTCGCAGTGACGAGCGTCGCTTCGCGACGCTCGCTGCGCTCGCTATTATCTAAAATCAGTAGAATTTCTGCTCCAGCTTTAGCCGTCTCTGAGCCTTTGTCTGGAAACGAAAGCCTATAAATTTTCGTTTAAAGGGAAATAACTCAAAACCGGAAGTGACCTTTTGAAATTTTCGACAACATTCTGGTAGGGTTTAGTAACTTCTAATACATCTGAAAATTTGAGCGAAATCAATTGAGAAATGAGTGAGATATGAGGCTTCAAAATTGGCGTCTAGGAAGTAGAAGAAAAAAGAAGAATAATCTTTACCAACATAATCAGTAGAAGGTCTTCCGTTGGAAACGAAAGACCTTAATGAAAAGTAGTATTAAAAAGTAGTATAATGGAAAGTAGTATAATGAAAAGTAGTGTTATGAAAAGTAGTATAAAGAAAAGTAGTATAATGAAAAGTAGTAGCATATAATGACAAAATACCATCATATAATGACAAGTACCGTCATATTATGACAAATTACCATCACATAATGACAAAGTACCATCATATAATGATAAAATACCATCATATAATGACAAAATACCATCATATAATGATAAAATACCATCATATAATGACAAAATACCATCATATAATGATAAAATACCAGCATATAATGAAAGTTCTCCACACAGCAGTTACGGCGTTCCATATAGACGTTTAAAAAAAAGAGAACTTTATAAAGCTGAAATATTTTTTTAAGTCCTTTTAATTATTACAAAACTAAAATACTTACTAAAGTAACATAGTATGACTTACTCTGTACTGAACTAAGTTTGGTCCTATCAATGGAAAGTCACGTGACAAATGCATAGTATGTATACTGAATGGAGGTCATTAACAAATTTCAATATCGTAAGGGCATACCCTAGATGAAATTAAAAATTTAAGTTGCCATTAGTGTTTGCATACTTTGTACTTTCTGGAAAGTGCTGCTGCTTTAAATAAAATTTGCATTTTATTTGTTAAAATTTCAAGTAAATATGCTCATGTCGAAATATGTGTGACCTTTACTAAGTATTTTGTGTCCTTATTTAGTCACACTCCCGAATTAAAGAAAGCAGCAGCATCAAGTTAAGGAAACCATCCTTTATTTATATTCAAAAATTGGCCATCTATTAAGTGTATGCCCTTGCGGAAAGGCAATTTAATAAGCTACCTCGATGTTAAACATGCCAAACCTGGACACATAAACACGGTAAATTTAATTACATACATTCTCTTGCTAATCATTGAATAATCGCACTAAACAAAGGTTTTACATTGGTATTCATAGCCTATCTAAAATCTGCAAATGATATTCTGTTTAATAATAAAATGCATTTTACATTGAAAAAAATATACTTGAACTACATTTCACAGTGTATAAATTACGCCATTTTTACAAAAATGATGTCATGTTGTCAAGTTTGCTGCGATCAGTGATTTGTTTATAAACTTTTATCTGGGATTTAACTAGCAACTATTTTTAATGTATTGATAAGTTATGATGTGGTTTATCATGCTAATGCAGTTTAAAATTGCAAAGTATTTGATTTTCTAGCATTATGAGGAATACAAAATGTACATATTTTTGTGTGGGGTCACAATAAACATTTCCCGTATAAATTAGACCTTCCCCCTTTTTCGAGCCTTAAAAATGCTGCGCAATATCATGTTAATAAACGTTACGGGTATATGCACGGATAAATAGGAATTTGACATATAACAATAAATCCTACCATAATGCATGCCTCAACAAAGTATGTACTAAACTTTCAAGCATCTGTTATGAGTAGTTGCTGAGTAAACTGCGACGAAAATTTGTTAATTTATGAAACTGACAGATGCCACTACTGGACGAAAAAAGTGCTGAGAATCCCAAATTTTACTGATAATGTTTGATAATTACTGATACGGTGCTGTTCTTGCTGATAATTACTGATATTTACTGTTATTATTACTGTTGTTGCTGATAATTTTAG